GGGGTCAATGTTGTGGAGTTGGAAGTGGACCGAGAGGCCACGGCACACAAAAAAGTCGTTATCCGGTGCACCGTCCCACATGTGATTGTTGGTCACCACGTGTCAATCAGAAAGATCCTTTTTTAGATTGTGTTTGCGACTAGACCCCACTAGGACCAAACTAATCAATGTGGTTCTCACGTGGGTCACTGTCAATTTTTGATTTTTACACGCAGCACAACAATAAAAATACTGTTAACTTCTTCCCTTCGCAATTGGGAAATGACCGAGATCCTCTGTTTCACCACGTGTATTTAGTCTACGTTACGTGTGAATAATTGAATATCTGATCAAACATGTCTCTCGCGAAAAAAAAAGGAGAAAATGCAAAAGATTTTGGTTGCATCGTCGTTGCCGACACATAACAATGTGTCGTCCGATTTAAATCCAAAGAGATAGCATTTGGGTCACATGCGGGTCATTCACTCACACTGGCTATTTACTTGTGAGGAGGATAGGCTTTACGTCTTCTTATTGCAAAGCCTGTGACGTTACGGTTTCTTTGATACGAGGGTATGTTTTAATATCGTAGCTCGTAGGGTTGGATAGTAATGCCAAATTCGCCTAATATTTGTTATTTTGACAGTGTTTAACCTAAAATCTCTAAACTTTGGTTTTTTTCATTTATGGGTTTTATAGTTTTGAGGTAGGTATGGGACCTTTTGACATTATTCAAATAATCAAAATCTTTCATGGAAAAGTAAACCTTGTAACGTTTGTTTTCTTTCATATTTTAGAATCTTTATGTTAAACGTGTTACGTGTATGGCTACGATCTACGGGCTTTATCCAGCTTGCATGCTCAAAGGCTAAAGCCAATTCCTTTCTAACCTGCTTTTTACCTATTTCGGAAACAACCTTTTTGCATTATTGAACTTCTTCAGTTTTCTAATCCAACAATGGTATAAATTAGCTAGCTCACTTACGTGAGGTATACAGGCTCATTTAAATCTGAATGATGTGACTGATCGAAAACGAACTAAACTTTAGAATTCGTTAAATAATTTTGCCAAATAACGGATTCCCGACTAGATAAAGAAGGAACTTTATATAAAATTTCATAGGATTTATAAATATATATACAACCCACTAACGACAAAAGAAAAATGTCTTGCTACGTCTCTGGCTCTCTGCCTTTATCTTGCCACAAGAAAAAT